TCTAAATGCATGTCATTAAGTGAAAGATGCTAGACCCAAAAAACTACACCTTGTGTGATTTCACTTACGTGATCTAGAAAGGGTGAGGCTATAGGGATGGAAAACAGAACAGTGGTTGCCAGGGCCTGGGGAGGAGGAGGAGCTCACCATAAAGGGGCAGCATGAGGAGCTTTTTAGGGTGCTGGAACTCTTTTGAATGGATATGGGACTTCATGCAGTTGTCAAACCTATAGAACTGAACACCACAAAGAATGAATTCTACTCTATGTAAATCAAAGTAAAATCAACCAAGATGTGGGGGTGGGGAGAAAATACAGACTGTGACAAATGAATCCAACTGTATTACAAATGAGTTCAAAAACCCACTGGAGAAAATGGGAAGAAAGAGCTAGCCTAAATCACTTTGGGGAAAAACGTATTTTGACTGGACACCACAAACGTAAACAACAAAAGAACTCCATGTATACTATGCTCTAGTTAGTCCATATGGTCCATCTAGGGGTATGGTTTGGCAATTCTGAAACTACATTATATACATACTAGAGATGAGCAAATAAGTAGATACATGGGAGAAAATGAGAACTGGGTTTCTTGCCAGGAGAAAGAAATGACAAATACAAAAAGGAGAAGGTACAAATGAATCCTGTGGCGCTAGATTAGGGATAGAGGTATCAGTGTAGACTCATGAGAGAGAGAGAGAGAGAGAGAGAGAGAGGGATGATAGTCAGATAGACTGATAGATGGATAATGAGTGAGTGGTGGATGGATGAATAGACAGATAAAGGTAGATAGATGATGGATAGATAGATGGTTGGATGATGGATGGATGGATAGATAGAAAAACAGATGATGATTAGATAGATGGATGTGGATCGATAGATAGATATTGGATGGATAGATGGATGAGCAGACAGAAAGATAGATGATGGATAGAAAGATGGATATGGATCAACATATGATAGATAAATGATATAGCTAGTTGATGGATGGAAGGATGAATGGATGGATGATGGATGGATGATGGATAGATATAGATAGATAACAGAGACAGACAGAGAGAGATAGAAGTGTGTTATGGATAAGTGAGTACACACACACATATATTTCCTAGATATAGTTCACCAAAAAGAGATAAAAGCAGGGACCACACGGCGATGAACACCCCAAATCCCTGATCTGAGTTTCAAAATACCATTCTCCTTGGAAAAGTAATTGGTTTCTGTGGTGCTAGAAAGTAAGGAAGGACTCAAAAAAAAGGGGAAAGGGGATGTCAAAAGGTCTCAGGAGCCAACCGACGAGGCTCCCATGGACGAAGTTGGAACTTGAATAGTAAAATAAATGAGAGTATTGTTTTGTAACCCAAAGAATAAAATAAATATCCCTGAGTCCCTATTGATATAAACAACCAAGTAAACAAATCAATGGAGGAAAGAGACAACTCTCTTTGACAGAAGAGTTCCAATTAATAAACGTGGAAGAATTGTGAATATAGAAAACCACCATGAGAACACCACAGTAATTGTTGGGGCACTAGCTATGGATGGATGCTAAAATTAGTAGGCAAAGCTTTAAGCAAAAATGGGATATTTGCAGAGGCTTAAAGTATCTGACCCCCAAACATGTATTAATTACCAAGGGGAAATAGTAACTTTACATTGGAGAAAGCTGGTAGACACCACCTTGACCAAGTGATCGATATGAGACATCTTGACATCACATATCCTAATATGCACTCAGGAGGGGGTGCCAACTCTGGGGTACCCTATCCAAAAATCATGGCAAAACACTGGACAAATCAAATTTGAGGAACATTCTACAAAATATTTGAGCAGTACTTTTTGGATGTGTCAAGGTCATGAAAGATGAAGACAGATGAGAAACGTCACAGATTGGAAGAGAACAACAGAGCCACAGTAAGCAATGCCATGTGGCATCTTGGCACCAAAAAGGACTTTAGTAAGGAAGCTGGTAAAATACAAATACAGTCTGTAGTTTAGTTAATAGCATTGTAAGATGTTAACTTCTTAGTTTATTTCTGTGGCTTATTAGATGTTAACCTAAGGGTAGGCTGAGTAATATGTACACAGGCGCTTTCTGTTATATTTACAACTCCTCTGTAATCTAAAATTATTTCCAAATAAGAAGATTAATTTTTAAAGGGATGCCCTTTAGTAATGCAGAAATTTTGTGGGGTTTTTTTTGTTTGTTTGTTTTGTTTTTGAGTCAGAGTATCATTCTGTCGCCCAGGCTGGAGTGCAGTGGCACGCTTACAACCACCCTAGCATCGACCTGCTGGACTCAGGCAATTCTTCCACCTCAGCCTTTCAAGTATCCAAAACTACAGGCACATGCTACCATGCCTGGCTAATTTTTAAATTTTTATTGTAGAGATGAGGTCTCACCAAGTTGCTCAGTCTGGTCTTGAACCTGTGGGCTCAGGCAATCCTCTCACCTTGGCCTCCCGAAGTGCTAGGACTACAGGCTTGAGCCACCACACCTGGCCTGTTATTATTTTAAAGATAATTTTTTTAAATTGTGGTCCTTAAACATTTTTATTTTTCCAGAGTTGTCTCTTATGCACCGGCTACATCCCTTAACAGAATACTACTCTGCAACAAAAAGTAGTTGTTGCTTCAGGCAACAACATGGTGACTCTTAAATGCGTGCTGTTAAGTGAAAGACGCTAGACGTGAAAAAAACACCTCGTATGATTTCACTTACATGATCTAGAAAGGGTGGAAGGTATAGGGATGGAAAACAGAACAGTGGTTGCCAGGGCCTGGGGAGGAGGAGGAGCTCACCATAAAGGGGCAGCATGAGGAGCTTTTTAGGGTGCTGGAACTCTTTTGAATGGATATGGGACTTCATGCATTTGTCAAACCTATAGAACTGTACACCACAAAGAATGAATTCTACTCTATGTAAATCAAAAGAAATATTGTGCCAGGCGTGGTGGCTCATGCCTATAATCCTGGCACTTTGGGAGGTGGAGGCAAGAGGATTGCCTGAGCCAAGGACTTCCAGATCAGCCTGGGTAATTTGGCAAGACCCCATCTGGACAATACATCAAATAAATTAGCCAGGCATGGTGGCACATACCTGTAGTTCTAGCTACTTGGAAGGCTGAGGTGGAAGAATAGCCTGAGTCCAGCAGGTTGAGGCTGCGGTGGCCATGAGCATGCCAATGTACTCCAGCCTGGGCAACAGAGTGAGACTCCAACTCAAAAAAAAGAAAATTGCTTCCACCATTCTAAAGAAAATCTCTGATGGTGTCACTCTCCTGTTCAAAAATCTTCAGCAGCTCCCTATTGCCCTTTTAATTGTGTTTGAGTCTATACCTGGCATTCTGGCTCTCGCGGCCTCCCCTTTCCCTAATCTTTCTCACAGGCTCCATGCCAGCCTTGGACTCCACTGTCTTGTTTCACCCTGAACTCTCGGAAATGCCTTTTCCCCAGATTCTGCTTGTCCAGAGCCCACGAAAGGTCCAGCATGAAGAAACGGCACCCTCCCCTGAACTTCCCGAGCATTTCTGTCACGGCCTTTCTCAATTTCCAGGGCTGCTCACTTTCTTGGATGCCCCTGGCCAGTGGCTGCTTGGAGTACCTTCCCCCACATTTTCCAACTCATCCTTCAGTACCTGAGACTGGATGGCACCGTCCAGGCAGAGCACCTGGAGCCTGGACCAGAACCCACATCCTACCTGGTCCCTCTCTCTCTGAATGATGCTCTCTTATCCTCTGCGCCAGCCTGGGGTTGACCAGATGTCCTGAGGAGCTCCAGGACTCAAATCTACCTTATTATCCTTGGAAATGATCACTTACCCTGGCCTGTTTGGTATCCTTTGAAGGACCACATGATATTGGGCCACCCACATGGTGCTGCCATGCTAATTTAGGGGGACTGAAATTATTTATCTGAACAGAACCACTTCCAAAAATATTTGCCCAGGATCCTTACTCTAGGATGGCCTTGTCAATTTCTGTCTTGTCTTACACATGCCTTGAAAGGGCTCTGTCTTAACTATGTCTGCTTCCCCTCCCCACAAGGGTACCTGTCTTAGTGTCTACACACAGTAGGTGCTCAATAAACGTTTGTCAGAATGGGTGCCTGAAGGAGTGAGTAACATCTCAATTGTACACATTTCTTTGGATGTCTGGTTCTAACCATGTTTCCTTGCACAAATGTATAGATCTTTCTCCTTTTGCATGGCAAAAAAAAGGGGTTTTCACGGGCCCAGGCCCTCCAGTCACTGACCTGACCGTCGATGTGCTGAAAGCTTATTGAGAAGGAATAAGCATGCCCCCAGATTCTCTTGGTGACAAACTGCAGTTGAACTTCACCTCCAAGACATGCAGAAATGACCCTGTGCAGGAATGCTGGTTGAGTGGTTTCAGGGCCGACAGTCCAGTCGTTCGGGTTGAACACTGCTTTGGTTGCAACAAACTGTAGTGGTAGAACATACGTCTGTCGTGCTTTGCTTCTGATCTTCTGCTCCGAGGTCGAGGACACTCTCCCAGGGGGGAAAGAAAAGAGGAAGTGCTGGGTGAAAGGAAAGCGACTTTACCCATCACTGACATACTTCGCAGCTGAAGCACCGCCATCTTGGGAGAAGAACATGGTGGCTCTTCACGGTCACCTGACTGAGGGACTTGAGTTGGATCCTGACTCAGAGGGAAACACAACACGGCGGAGAGGCCCTCCCACAGTACCTGCACACTCACAGCCAAGCAGGGGCTTGGCCCCAGCGGAGATATGAGAACAGGTGACTGTCAGAGCCACCAAGAGGGTGGGAGGCCTGCTGTTACCAGATCCCCCCTCCTTGGGTCACAATGCTGCATGAAGTCACAGAATGTTGAAGATGAAATAAAAGCGCTCCGAAGTCACAAAGTCGGGGGTGGTGGGCGTCCTTTCCACGGGGCCCCTGGGAACAGAGTCGTCCCACTCTCCTGGCTGAGCCGGGGAGGTAGTGGCCTCTCCCAAAAGGAGCTGGGGTCACATCCATGCATGTCCTCAGCCCTCCGAAGCCCGCTCTCCCCGGGGCTTGCTGGGAGGGAAGGGTAACTGCAGGTCCCGTGGGATTCACCCTGGGGCAGGGCCCACGCAGAGTCTGAGAGAGAGGTGAATGGGCAGGTGGGCTTCCAAGGGAAGCGGTTGAAGGGTGGTGAGAAGCTGGCAGCAGCCCTCGAGAGGGTCCTGGCACCATGGACAGTGACGAGCCTCTTGAGCCCGAGACCAAAGGTGAAAAGCACCCCATCTCTCACCACGCAGCCCTTCCGGCTGCCACAATGTCACACCCGGTGATCACTAGGACCCTGAAGCCCACTTCTCTCCTCACCTGGGACCCCCTAGAATTGGAGGATGCATCCTGTTCATTGACTTGGGTTCAGGACATGGCGGGTGGGGGGGGGCAGGAAGTGCTGACTGGCTCATACCGGATCTAGCCAGTTTTACATGTGGGCAGGTCAATGTCACATTGGTGGTTTGAAATCAATGACATTGGGACTATATATACCACATGAATTGACTAACACTGTCAATCAGGATGTTTTGGGTGTCATTGCTTTTTCTGGAGAACCAGTTGTTAGTTACCAGTATTCCACTGGGTGAACGGTACTCTAAAATTGTTTGGTGAGGCAATTAAGACCCAGATGCTCATCCCTTTTCTGAGGGCGCCCTGCAGTTCAGCCACTGAACTGCTGTCCACAAGGCCGCTGCTGGTACTCACACCTCACATCGCACAGACCTCGTGCCACAGGCTGGGAGATGAGTGTTGAGGCTTGGGTCTGCAAACATGAACTGAGACATAGACAGGCCTGCGTGGACTTGCCAGGAGCCCTGCCGTCCCAGAATCTTGGGACCCCAACCACAGACGCTCACCCCACCCCAAAAGTTGGTCAGCTAAGCTCCAACAGAGACACACCATGGCTTCTCCAAACTACCGAGTTCTACTGGTGCCAAAAGATTGAGCTCTATCTAGACCATGTGTGTGGCTTGCAGGAGCCCGTGTCTGGTCACGTGGACCAGCAGTGGAAGAACCACATCTAGCTAGTGCAGGGCCCTGGTATGAGGAAAGAATGGTTGCTCTCGCCAGCGTCTCATCAAACCAACACCTGGATTTAATCACAGCAATTAATTTCAGCCCAAGGGGTTTTCAAACCCCTCCTTCTTCCCAGTCATAAAATCAAAGTTGGAGTGGGAGGAAGAGAAGCTAGATCAAATTCTTAGGAATCAGGTTCTGGCCAGGCGTGGTGACTCACACCTGTCATCCCAGCACTTTTGGAAGGTGGAGGCAAGAGGATTGCCTGAGCCCAGGAGTTTGAGACCCGCCCGGGCAACTTGGCAAGACCTCATCTCTACAGTAAATCAAAAAAATTAGCCGAGTGTAGTGGTGCATGCCTGTCGTTCCAGCTACTTGGAAGGCTGAGGTGGAAGGATCGCCTGAGCCCAGCAGCTCGAGACTGTGGTGGCCGTGAGCATGTCACTACACTCCAATCTGGGTGACAGAGTGAGACCCCAACTCAAAAAAAAAAAAGGGGAATCAGGTTCTCTCTTGCTGCCTGGAACTGCCCCTGGTCCATTTTATTTTCCGTTAGACCCAAGCTGCTACCTACCCTGCCCCTTGCCTTCCCCTGCCCCACTTGTGTCTGACGATGAGGAGGCCTGGGCATCACCTGAAAGAGTTACAGCAGGCCTTGAAGCACACCCGAGCAGATAACAGAAGGGTCAGCCAGGGGCTGACCTCCAAGGCAGGCCCCTACAGGGAGTCAGGCAGGAGCAGCCCACCTCCAGGGAGCACAAGGGGTCCCACGGGTAAGGCAGCCAGGAGGCAGCACTGTGGGGGAGGGGGGGCTTGTAGGGCAGAGTCGCCCTGGCAGGGCTTGACACTGGGGGGAACCAAGGCTGCAACTGGGACCTGGAACACAGAGGAAGGAAGAGGAGACCGGGGGTGGGGGTGAGAGGTTCCAGCCAAGAGGCGGGCAGGTTTCATCCCAGAAACAAGGAGTTGAGTGTTTCTTTCAGATGAGACCAGAACCGAGCCAGCACTGCAGAGCAGTGACGAAACTCTCTACTGTGAGGCCGAAGCCCCATCAGCCCTTGGAAAGGAGAAACCAGCCCGGGAGAGTTCGGAAACAGACCTCGAAATCGAAGGTGAGGGTGGGCACCTGCAGGTGCGGGCAACTGGCTTGCCAGCATCCAGAAGCTGGGGAAATCCGGGTTCTGGAAATAGCTGCCCCGTTCCTCTTGGGTCCTCGGAGGCTCTTCCCAGCAAGCGTCCTGCAGGGGCCTGGGGTAGAAAGGTATCTTCGTCCTGCAGGCTGAGGGTAATGCCTCCCGCCAGCTTGTTGAAAGTCAAGTGAATACATGACTAGGGCTTTCAGGTCTTCTAAATGCTCCCACGTGTGACATTGTGCGCGACCTTTGCAACCCATAGTCCTAGGAGGTAGGCATCATTGCCCATGTTTAGCAGAAGAGGATGCCGAGGTTTTATAAAGAGATCAGACAAGTTGCCCAAGACAAACAGGAGCAAGCCAAGCCCACGTCAGCCGATCCCGGGTGTGCCCACGCTGAGGGGTGGCCTTCCATGCTCCATATTGCAGGACCCTCGAGTGCTTCTGTGGCCATCTTGCATCTCGGTGACTGTCCCACGCTCAACCCCGCGGCAAAGGATGACACTGTGGCAAGCTGCCCCTAAAATATAACAAAAGTGAACACAGAAAGGGTCAGCATCAAACTGAGTAGAATTAGTCCCGGGCATAAGACCATCCCTGCTTTGGCCAACAGGAACCTCTAATGACTGCACTTAGCAAAAAACACTATCCTGAACAGAAACTTGGGGCTCAGCCACCAGGGCTCCCAGGGCCCCAGGGCTGGTGCTGGGAGGCATGAGAAGCAGTCTGGGGGAGCATGGCAAGCTGACGCTGGTCTACAGAAGAGGAAGAGACAGAAGCCTGGTGTGCTCACCCACCCCCAGCTTTTTGGATCTCACCCAGAGGCTGTCCTGCATCCAAGCAACATTTGGCAAACCAGGGGGTGGGGGTTGCCACTAGCATCTCGTGGGTCCAGGTCGGGATCCTACCATTCACAGGACAGCCCCTCACAGTAGAGCATGATCCAACTCAAAACGTCGGCAGGACCAGGACTGAGAAACCCTACCGCCCAGGCAGAAGACCAGTTTGTCCTGTGCTTGAAGAATCAGCTTCCCCGCAAAGCTGCTGTCCTTCTCATAACAAAGCTCCCGTTGTCGGCCTTAGAATATTTGGTGTGGGTTGGCCAAAGGCCCTGGACTCTGAAGGAAAAGTAGAAGCAGAAACCCCAGAAGCCCCGCCGTAGGCTGGACCTACCGAAGAAGCGTACAACTGTGGGCAACCCAGAACCCAGGGAGACCGATGCTGTTATCCACAGTCAGGCTGCTCTAGCCTAAGGAGTAAAGGTCCACGGGGCTAGAGGAGAGAGGCAGGGCTGGCTGGTTTTAACACTGACCAGTTGTGTGTGGTTTGGGGCTAGATTGTCATTGGTGAAGTGGGGGAGACAGTTTTTGTGGGAAAAATGACACAAAATCTTTGACAGAGGAAAGCCCGCTGGAACGCAGGCATGCCTGTTTCCTGCTGAGTTGGGGGTCTTTCCGTCCTCCCTGACTGGCCACCTTGAGACACTCACGCTGTCCCCCTCGGGCTCTTTTCCAGCCAGCACATCTCCAAGTCCTTGGTGAAGCCTCGGTCGTGGTTCCCAAAACTGAACTAGCAAAACTGGAAAGTGATGTGGGGACACCCTCAACCATCAAAAGGCATCAGCTTTCTGACGACGCTGTTGGTCTTTCAGAGTGGCCCAGGGCTGGATGGAGGCTGGGCCTTTGCATGTTCAGCGTCGGATGTGGCCGGCCTAGGCAGGGGGTGAGGCCCCTTGCTTATTTCTCTCAGGAAGGCTTAGGGCCTGCAGCCTCGGGCCTCATCTCTTGCTCAAAGGGAGGTGTTCAACGGGGATCCTCTGGAGTCAGGGTCTCCCTCTCCCACCGCTAACTGGCCTCCGGGTCTGGAATTGGCTTCTGGAGCGCGTACTCACAGGGTTAGACACTCCAGCAATGGGGACCCTAGTCACAGGCCAATGTTGCCTGGGACTAGAGGGAAGATAAGGCCGGTGGAAAAGAAATCCGACTCCCACCCCCATCTTTCTCTGCAGATATCGAGAAGTTTTCCACCATTGGACAGCGGGAGCTGTACCTGGAGGCCTGCAAACTGGTGGGCGTCGTGCCCGTCTCCTACTTCCTTCGGAACATGGAGGATTCCTATGTGAACCTCAACCACCATGGCCTGGGCCCCAAGGGCACCAAGGCCATTGCCATAGCCCTGGTGGTGAGCATGCTGCTGGTGGGGGACAGGGCAGCGGCCTGAGACTCCGCAGGCCCCTCGGTGGAGCCTAAGTAGCAACCTTTGTGCCCGGCCTGGTCTCTGCCTGACTGCGAGTCAATGTCCCCAGCAGGCCCGGACTCCCCTTTGGCTCCTGGAAGGAGGCTGCTGGGACCTGGGCCTTAGAAGTCGACTCTCTTTCCTATTCAGGAAACAAAGGCGTCAGCCCTGGGCCCAGGAAAAGTGGCCAGGCCCAAGCACTCGTGCAAGGATGCAAACCAAACACCAGCCTGGGGCCCCACTACAAGCTCACCTTTATTTATTCATTCATTCATTCATTCATGCATTCGAGTCAGAGTTTCACTCTGTCGCCCAGGCTGGAGTGTAGTGGCACGCTCACAGTCACCGCAGCCGTGACCTGCTGGGCTCAGGCGATCCTTCCGCCTCAGCCTTCCAAGTAACTGGAACCACAGGCTCACGCCACCAAGCCCAGCTAACTGTTTGATTTCTTGTAGAGGCATGGTCTTGCCAAGATGCCCAGTCTGGTCTCGAACCCCTGGGCTCAGGCAGTCCTGTTGCCTCTACCTTCTAAAGTGTCGGGATTACAGGCATGAGCCACCAAGTCCAGCTAGAAAGAGTTCTTAACGTGCTATTTCAAAAGGACCTGAAAGAAGAAAGAGAGTTAGTGAATCACATAGAGAATGAGTGATTGAGAGGTAGGAGATGCTGCAGAAGGGTTGAGACAGTCGGAGACAAGCTTCAGCTAGATGGAGTCACCCTGGCTCTGTGAGCAGAAGTCTGAGAGGACAAGGAAGGAAAAGGCAGTCTTATGCTTCCATAGCTACTCAGTCATGAAATACTTGGCGGTCTCCAGGAAGCTTGACATACACTGTCATTGTTGGTTGCCAGAATATACCGCAGACCCTGCTTATCCACGTTTCACTATCCATGGTTTTCCTTACCTCCAATACAATAGGATATTTGAGAGAAAAAGACAGAGACAGAGAGAGAGAGAGAGAGAGAGAGACCCCTCATTCACATAGCTTTTATTATGATGTATTATTATTATTATTGTTCTGTTTTATTATTAGTTATTGGTACTCATCTCTTACCGTGCCTAATTTGCAAGTTAAGTTCTGTCATAAGTATGTGTGTATAGGAAAGAGCATAGGATATTGAAGTTTCAGTCCATCTGCAGTTTCAGCCTCCCCTGGGGGTCTCGGATGAGGGTGTCACTGTGTTCATTACCAGAATGAAAGTTCCTCATTCAATGGTTAGGCTACTGTTTTTAAAAAGAGTAACTTATAAAGATGAGAGGGGTCGGCCTGCGTGCTGTTCCTTTCGCATGGCAGCCCCCAGTGGCGTTGAACAGTGTCTTTGTGGGATACATGGTCTTAGTTTGTCATGTCCCCTCCCGCCACATACTCATTCTTTTTTGAAAACATGGTAGCATCTGCACTGAGCAGGTGCTCCTGAAGAAGTCTCATGAAATGTGAGACTGTGTTCTTTTCTGGGGATGGGGAGGAAAGAGCGAGAAGGAATAGGGCCACCCTGAATGGTCTGGAGGGTAGAGGGATGGACCCGGGGGTGTTGGGAAAATGCTGTCACCCATGAACTTCGTGGGAAACAATTAGTGAGAATGAGACCCTCTAGGACTCAATGAATCGCTGTGACACTCTGGAGGGCTGAACTTTTGTTTGCTTTTCGTACTGAGTAACTTTTCACATGTTCCTATTTCATTCTTGTGTGTTTTCCTCAACCCCTAGCACCATGCCTTTGCACTTGGAGCAGAGGGCCGGGGAATTGTAGTGTCGATTCTCATTTTCCCAGCCATTCCCTGTGTGGCATGAGTGCGGGTGGACCTGGTGACAGAGTCTGCTACTTCCTCCTAGAACTTGCCAGTCCCCAGGGTGACTCTGCAAGGGTCATTCAACCTACGTTTCTGCTCCATAGCGCTTAGCGGGGGAGCCCACCTGAGCCCTCACCCTTGCCTTTGAACAGGGCAGAGTTTTGTGCACTCTTGAAAGCTGAGATTGGAGGGCATTCCCTAGAGCTCTGGGGTGCCATCCTGCATTGCAGTAGCTTCATCTCTCATGGTTTCCTTTCACTCAGAGGGAGAAATCAGCACTCGGGCACCTCGCCACTTGCTGTTCCTGTCACTGCCTGGCGGCCTTGGAGAATGCACAGATCCACCGGGAGCAGTGGCTCATGCCTGGAATCCCAGCACTTTGGGAGGCCAAGGCGAGAGGACTGCCTGAGTCCAGAGGTTCAAGACCAGCCTGGGTAACTTGATGTGACTTGTCTCTACAAGAAATCAAAAAATTAGCTGGGCATGGTGGCACGCGTCTGTAGTTCCAGCTACTTGGAAGACTGAGGCCGAAGGATCACCTCAGTCCAGCAGGTCGAGGCTGCAGTAGCCAGGAGCATGCCGCTGCACTCCAGCCTGGGCAACAGAGTGAGACTCCAACTCAAAAAAAAAAAAAAAGAAAAGAAAAAGAAAATGCTCAAGACCATGTATCCCAAATCCAAATATGTATCTGTTCTGTTTGGAAACAAGGTAGGGAAGGGAAGAATAAAAGTTCTGGTTAAAGCTAGTCCCAGTTCGTCATGCTGCAATGCAAGTCCTTTCCTCTTTCTCCTCTTGCTCCCAGTAGGAATGCAGACTAGCTTGGATGTAAATATTCACTGAAGATGTAAATCTAGCTCCTTCCAAACTGTCTTGAGACCGCCTCCCATTAAAAGAGAGTACCAGCCAGACTTGGTCGCTCAGCCTGTAATCTCAGCACTTTGGGAGGCTGAGGTGAGTGGATTGCCTGAGCCCATAGGTTTGAGACCAGCCTGGGCAACTTGAAGAGACCTCATCTCTACAATCAATCAATCAGTCAATCAGCTGGGCATGGTAGCGCACACCTGTAGTTCCGGCTACTTGGAAGAATGACTGGAGCCTAGCAGGTTGATGCCGAGGTGGCTGTGAGTGTACCACCGCGCTCTCCAGCCTGGGCGACAATGAGACTCCAACTCAAAAGAGCACCAGAGCCAGGTGTGGTGGCTCACACCTTTAGTCCCAGCTACTCAGGAGGCTGAGGCAGGAGGGTCGCTTGAGCCCAGAAGTTCAAAGCCAGGTGGAGCAACATAGCGAGACCCCCATCAATAATTAATTAATTAATTATAATAATAAATTAATTCAAATTAAAATGAGAATATCAGATAAGACCTAAGCCTAAACTAGAAGAAAGACCACCGAAGAAAGCAAAGTCAACACTTCAGAGGGCTTCCTTGCAAGAATCTTGATGATTAAATACCCTTATTAAATGTATGTTTTCCTTAACCTTGGAGTAGGTCACACTTGGGCAAAATAGCTCATCCATGTGCCTCTGACTTTTCAGGGCCTCAGCTGTTTTGAGGACTCTGTTCTAAATTCTCCCAAAATAACCACACTGTCCTAGCTCGTTCCCTTGTCCCTTCCATGCCTGCAGAGCCCCCAGTCTGCATCCCACACCCACTCACATGGCTGGCCCCAGGTGAGCAGGGAGCAGGTTGGGTCACCAACCACATCTGTGTCTTCCTTTCGCCCCCTTGCCGGTTGCAGTCCAACACATCGGTCCTCAGGTTGGAGCTGAAAGACAGCAGCATTGCAGAGGAGGGTGTCCTGAGCCTGGTAGAGATGCTACAGGAGAACTACTACCTCCAGGAGCTGGTATGTGCCCGCCGCCCAGGCCATTCAAGATGAGCCAGGGGCCTAGCCTGGCCACCTCCAGACTGTCTGCCATCACTTACAGGCACCTGACCTCCACACATGGCTTCTCAGAGGAGGACCACACAAGAGGGGTTGGGGGGTGGGTGACTGTGTTCCCTGTAGCTGTAGGAAACCCTAAGAAACCATTTCTATCTGGACCTATAAGCCCCCAAGTAGATGCATTTACCTCTTATAGTTGCCATCAAGTGAGTTTTTCTTACAGAAAATAAAGACATGTGATAATGTCATAAAATACAAAGTGCCTGGAGGTGGCAGGTGGTGATGGTTGCACAACAATATGAAAATACTTTACCCTTATAAATGTTTAAGATAGAGCGGGGCGTGGTAGCTGACGCTTGTAATCCTAGCACTTTGGGAGGCCGAGGCAAGAGGATTGCCTGAGCCCAGGGGTTTGAGACCAGCCTGGGCAACTTGGCAAGACCTCGTCTCTACAATAAATCAAAAAATTAGCCAGGCGTGGTGGTGCGCACCTGTAGTTCCAGCTACTTGAAAGGCTGAGGCAGAAGGGTCGCCTGAACCCAGCAGGTTGAGGCTGCAGTGGCTGTGAGCGTGCCACTGCACTCCAGCCTGGGCAACAGAGTGAGACTCCAGGTAAAAAAAAAAAGGGTTAAGATGGGCGGGCGTGGTGGCTCATGTCTGTAATGCCAGCACTTTAGAAGACTGAAGCAGAAGGGTTGCTTGAGCCTAGGAATCCGAGACCAGCCTGGGCAACATAGCAAGACCCTCCCTATCTCTACAAAAAATTTAAAAGTTATTTGGGTATGGTAGAGCACACCTGTAACCCCAGCTTCTCAGGAGGCTGAGGTGGGAAGATCACTTGAGCCCTCAAGTTCAAGGGTATAGTGAACTATGATCACACCACTGTTCTCTAGCCTGGACCACAGAGTGAAACCCTGTCTCTTTAAAAAAAAAAAAAAAAAGATTAAGATGATAAATTGTATGTTGTGTGTATTTTACCATCATAGAAGGAAATTAAAAGAAAAGGCAGAAAAACCAATTAAGGCAATAATGGCTGGTTTCTAAAAAGACTTCCCCACCAGCCTCAAAAGGGAGTCCTACTTACTGAATCAATGAATGGAATTTACAATGATTATTTACTCTAAACTCATTTGTCAATTGTTTCACTGCCAGACTCATAAATGAAGCTGTTTTTTGAATTGGGTTTCAAAGCAAGCAAACAAAATAATGTGCTTATCTGAGGCTCCAGGGGAGGGAGTCTTTGGAGCCAACTTCAGAAAACTCAGACCAGCTGAGGGTCTCTCAGAAGGCACTAGAGAAACCAGTGGGTGCCAGGGGATGCCAGGTGCCCTGCTTCCCCTCTTTGTCCTTTGAAGGACCCAATGCCTCCACTCTGTTCCCCACGGTCCCCTCCCTCAACACAGGCCTCAAGTAAACCCCATCCATTGTCATTTGTTAATGAGGGCTCTTTACATAAGTGTTTTCTTGCCTTTAGAATATTTCCAACAATAACCTTGGTTTGGAAGGGGCCAGAATCATCTCAGAGTTCCTGGAGAGAAATACTTCTTCCATCTGGAACCTGAAGCTTTCAGGTGAACTCATGGACAGGGAGGCAGAGAAGGACACCAGGGGTATTGGGGGATGAGGGGGAATGGGGGTAAGAGGGCGGGGGGAAAGGACATAGACTCCACTGACCATCTACATCTAGCGATATAGATAATGTATCAACAGTAATTTATCACCCAAGCCAAATAGCCGTCCTTCATTAACTGGCATTGATGATAAACAGAGACATCTTGCACCCAACCATAAAATGTATTCGGTACTGTTAAGAACATAAAAATAAATAAATGAACATTTGTATATCTAACCGAGTTGTACCGCACATCTTGAAAATAAAAAAATTTTAAAAGAAAGAAAAATAAGTAAATAAAACATAAAAGAATAAATCATTGGGGATTTTTGGTGATTTGTTTAGAAAGCAGGATTTATTAAGAGGACAGCAAAGCTCTCACAGTGGAAGGGAACTCGAAAGGTTGCCCAAATCACTGTTTTTAAAAAGACCTCTCAAGGCCGGGCGTGGTGGCTCAGCCTGTAATCCCAGCACTTTGGGAGGCCGAGGCGAGTGGATTGCCTGAGCCCACGAGTTTGAGACCAGCCCGGGCAACCTGGCAAGACCTCATCTCTACAATAAAAATTTTAAAAATAGCCTGGCGTGGTAGCGCACGTCTGTAGTTCTGGCTACTCAGAAGGCTGAGGTGGAAGGATCACTGGAGTCCAGAAGGTCAACACAGGGGTGGCCGTGAGCATGCGTGCCATTGCACTCCAGGCTGAGCGGAGGAGTGGGACTCCAACTCAAAAAAAAAGGACCTCTCCACCTGCTACCCCCTGCAGAAATTTCTAGAAATGAAGAAGAGATACTCACTGGAATGTACGCAGGTGAATAGGATGGGTGAAGAGCACACTGGCCATCTTTGCAGCATAGAAATATAAAGACCTAGAGAACGTAAAAGATAAAATAATATCCAAGGAGGAGTAGACTCCACATAGCTAACAGGAGCTCAGAAGGAGAAGAGAATGAATGGGCAGCGACGTTTGAACAAATTGCAGCTGCCAAGTCACCTGAACTGATGAATTTTCCCATGCGGGATTCTTCACAAGTCCTAAGTGAGCCATGTAAAAAGAAATTTGCATTTGAATATATCATGGAAAAATGCTTCAGAAAGAAAGAAGGGCTTAAAAGTGTCTATGAGAAAATACAGAAAGAGAGTGTGTATTTTTGAATGTGAACATTATGACATGTCAAGTTATATTCTCCAATTGCTCTTGTTTCACTCTACATGTTTCTTGGATTTCTTTCTATGTCAGAACAAATAGGTTGTTCTCATTCCCTTGAACTGCTGGGGAGTAATCCGTGTTATGGATATAGTATAGTTTATTTCATGCTCCCTATTTGAGAGAGGAAGGAATTGAGGTCATTTTCAATTTTTTCTATCTTTCAATTAATGTTTTAAAGGACTTTCTTGTACACACATCCTTGGGGTACATGTTCTTGTATTTCTAGACACCCAGGAGCAGAAGTACTAAATATAAAGATGTCTCTATTTTTGTGAAGTTATAAATTGATTTCCAAATTCCCTTTATGAAGATGTACCAGGTTACAATTCTACCAGTGAACTGTCTGCTGTTTGTGAATCACAATGGTTAAAAGTGTGGGTGTTGGCCAGGCTTGGTGGCTCAGCCTGTAATCCCAGCACTTTGGGAGACCGAGGTGAGTGGATTGCCTGAGCCCACGGGTGGGAGACCAACCCGGGCAATTTGGTGAGACCTCATCTCTACAATAAATCAAAATTAGCTGGATGTGGTAATGTGCACCTGTAGTTCCAGCTACTTGGAAGGCTGAGATGAAGGATCACTAGAGCCCAGCAGGTCAGCACTGATGTATGCCACTGTACTACAACCTGGGCGAAAGAGTGAGACTCCAACTCAAAAAAAAAAAAAAGTGTGGGTGTGAAGTCACAGTGTATGGATTCAAGCCCCAAATCTCATTTTGTCATTTATAAATTAAGGATAATTATATTACATACCTCAGACAGTGGTTGTGAAGATTAAGTGAATTAAATAAAATCTAAAACAATTAGAACTGCACTTAGGACATAATCACTATTATTACTTTATTACTATTGCACATTCTATTACTAATGAAATAGAACATCCTTTCAGATGCTAATTTTTATTTTTATTTCCTCTTCTATAAATGCCCTTTTTTTATAAGGAATTTTGTGTGGAAAAACGTCAATTGTTACATTGGGCTGTTTGTATTACTGTTAGGCATTCTTTACATATTATAAATATTCATACTTGAATGTCAGAAAGTTATATATGGCTTTGTTTATGGTATTTTCTTGTAGGGAAGTTTGTGTCTTTTATTGATGTGAAATGTATTAGTCTTTTTCCTTTATTAACTTGATTTTTGTAGTCTTGCTTAAACACTGCTTCCTATTTAAATATTATAAAAATATTTTCCTGAACTAGGATTAGTGGCATATGCCTGTAATCCCAGTGCTTTGGGAGGCCAAGGTGGGAGGATCCCTTGAGCCCAGGAGTTTGATACTGCATCTTGGAAAAAATCTGTTGGGATTTTGATTGAGGTTCTAGATAATATTCTAGATTAATTTAGGAAAGAATCAACATATTCACGATATTGAGTCTCATCATTTAAAACATGGTTTAATCCCATTCACAATAGCTACAAAAAAAATGAAAAACTTTGACATCGTCCTAACCAGAGAAGTGAAAGACCTTTTCAATGAAGACTATAAAACACTGCTCAAAGAAATCCAAGAAGACACAAACAAATGGAAAAACATTCCATGCTCATGGATAGGAGGAATCAACATTGTCGAGATGTCCTCCTACCAAAGGCAATCTACAGATTCAACGCAATACCCATTAAGTTACCAACATCATTCTTCTCAGACCTGGAAATGACAATACAGAAATTCATATGGAAACATAAACGACCATGAATAGCCAAAACAATCCTTAGCAAAAGAAACAAAGTGGGAGGTATCACACTTCCAGACTTTAAACTTTACTGTAAGGCTACAATAATCAAAACAGCCTGGTATTGGTACAAGAATAAGCATATGAACCAATGGAACAGAATAGACATTCTGGAACCAAAACCTCAAATTCTCAACCAATTCATCTTTGAAAGAGCCTCCACGAACAACCACTATTCAGTAAATGGTGCTGGAAAAACTGACTGACCACATGCAGAAGATTGAAACAGAACCTCTGCCTATCACCATACACAAAAATCAATTCTAAATGCATCAAAGACCTAAACATAAAAGCTCAAATTATAAGAACCTTAGAAGATGCAAGAAACACCTTTATGGGAATTGTAACTGGCAACCAATTCCTGATCAAAACCCCAAGTGCCCATCCCATAAGAGATAAGATAGACAAGTGGGACCTCATCAAACTGAAAACCTTCTGCAAAGCAAAAGAAACCATCAAAAGAGCGGAGAGACAGCCCATGGAATGAGAAAAAATGTTTGCCAACGGTATATCTGACAAATGCCTAATATCCAGGATCTACAAGGAACTCAAACGTGCTGAAAGGAAAAAAACAAACAGCCCCATTAAAAAGTGGGCAAAAGACATGAATAGACACTTCTCAAAAGAAGACATACGGGCAGCCAACAGACACATAAAAAAGTGCTCAGCCTCACTAATCAGAGAAATGCAAATCAAAACCACGTTGAGATACCACTTCACCCCAGTAAGAATGACCATCATTGATGAAACAAACAACAAAGGATGATGGTGAGGATGCGGAGATAAAGGAACACTTCTACACTGCTGGTGGGAATGCAAACCAGTGCAACCTCTTTGAAAAACAAAGTGTGTTGATTTCTAAAAAAACTAGACATTGACATTTCATATGACCCAGCAATCCCCCTTCTGGGAACATACCCAGAGGAACTCAAATCATTCTACAAAAAAGATACCTGCACAGGCATGTTTATTGCAGCACTACTCACAATAGCAAAAACATGGAACTAACCATGTTGCCCATCAAAACTGGATTCGATTTTTTTTTAATGGTATATATACACAGTGGAATGTTACATAGCCATAAAGAAGGACCAACACATGGACTTTGCAGGAACTTGAATGGATTTAGAGTCTATTATACTCAGTGATCTGTCACAGAAACAAAAAACAGAGTATCACATGTTCTCACTCATAAGTGAACCCGAACATTTACTCTAATACTATAAGAAAATTGGTAGTAGCGGGATACTGCTGGGATTGAGGGGTGGGGGACACCGCATCATTAAGGGTACCTGACCTCAAACCAGGCAACGTGGGGACCAAAGGGAGGCCCAAACTTTACCTGTATGATGACCATTAGTATACCTAATCCTGAATTGTACTCCACATCTTTAAAAAAAAAAAAACATAGTTTTTCTCTGTTTCTTATATTCTACCATATTTTATAGCCTTCTTCTATTATATGCTTTGTGTATCTCATATTACATCTATATCTAGGTCTCTTATCACTTCACCTTATGTGAACACATGGTTTTTGGGGGTTTGGGGTTTTGTCGTTGTGGTTTTGTTTTTGCGTAGAAGCACTCTGTTGCCCAGGCTGGAGTGCAGTGGCAGGATCACAGCTCACTGCAGCCTCAACCTCTTGGGCTCAAGCAATCCTTCACCCTCAGCCTCCCAAGTAGCTGGGACTACAGGAATGCACCCAGCTAATTTTTTTATTTTTATTTTTTTGTAGAGACAAGGTCTCACTATATTTCCCAGGCTGGCCTCAAACTCCTGGGCTCAAGCAATCCTCCAGCCTTGGCCTCCCAAAGTACTGGGATTATAGGCATGAGCCACTACGCCCAACCAGAATTTTTTTAATTACATTTTCAATTGGTTATTACTAATTGTCAATTGGCTATTACTACTTGTCTGAAATCTATTAATTTTTATATACTGATCCTATATGCAATTTCTTTATTAAATTTTCTTATTTGTTCTAATTAGTTAATTTTATTGAATTATTAAGATAAGTGATCATACCTGCAGATAATGGGAGTTTTATCTCTCCTTTCTAATATTTATAGCTCCTAATGATTTTTCTAGTTGCATTGGCTAAGACTCCTACCACATGTTAATCTACAGAAAGTTTTTTGCAAAAAATACAAATTACTCAACCAACCCCATCCCAGGTTACTGAATCAGAATCTTTGGAGGAAGAATTGGAATCTGTATGTTATCAAACTTCCCAAATGATTCCCTTACAACCAGCTCTGTGCTCTTTGTAAACACTGATGAAAACACCATAACTAATAATCACCTAATTAGTAATCACAATGATTAATAATAACTGACCACCTAACTTTATGCTTTGACTAGCTTTTTTTTTTTTTTTGAGTTGGAGTCTCACTCTGTCACCCAGGCTGAAGTGCAATGGCATGCTGATGGCCACCGCAGCCTTGACATGCTGGCCTCAGGTGATCCTTCCACCTCAGCCTTCCAAGTAACTGGGACTACAGGCACATGCCACTATGCCCGGCTAATTTTCTGATTTATTGTAGAGACAAGGTCTTGCCAAGTTTTCTGGGTTGGTCGTGAACCCTGGACTCAGGCAACCCTCTCACCTTTGCCTCCCAAAGTGCTGGGATTATGGGTGTGAGTCACCATGCCCGGCTTGACTAACTTATTATCTCATTTTATTGGACTACTAACAGACACAACCTAGCAAGTATTTATGTTTTGATGAATACATTCATTCACTCATTCATTCACCCAGTAGGCATTTATTACGTACCTGTTTTGTGCCAAGTACTATTTAGGTGCTAGAGATACAAGGATCATTAACAGCTCAAAGGTGAAAATTTTGGAATAAGTGTCTGTGCCATGTGCTTCCCAGAAATCACCAATGCTCTGTGCTGCTCAGCAGGACCAGGACCAGAGCAAGGTGAGCGAGGCACTTGCTGGTTGCAAATTGTAAGGGGATACCAAAAAGTAAATAACATCATAATGCTAGTCTTGAATTCCTGGGCTCAAGCGATCCTCCTGCCTCAGCCTCCCAAAGCATCCATGAGCCACTGCACCCAGCCCAGATCCTGTCTTTCTTTCTTTCTTTCTTTCTTTCTTTTTTTTTTTTGAATTGGAGTCTCACTCTGTCACCCAGACTGGAGTGCAGTGGCCGCTCACAGCCACTGCAGCC